CATCAAACACTAACTTGCCATCTACTACCAAATGCCATGATATTCTATGAGCTGATAGTACAGTGGGTAGGGTACTTGCCTTGCATTCAGATGACCCAGGATTTAATCCCCAGTCTCCCATACAGTCCCGCCAGGAGTAACTCCTGAGTGTAGAGCGAGGAGTAACCCCTGAACATCACTGAATATGACCCCAAAACAAACAAAAAGAATACAGAGACCAAGTCCATGCTTTAATGTTGTCCCCCTGTCATGGAGTGTGCTAAGAGTGATGAATGAGTGTATGCCACTTATCTACAAGAAAACATTCAGAAAAACGCATCCTGAGTCAATTTTGTTTATGTGAACCTCATAAAATGATGCTCTATGAACACTGGAGCTTTCTACATAGACTTAAGTTATACTCAGGGACTGCTCTAATATATATGGACTGATGAAGGAATGAGCCAAGGGGAGGAGAAGAAAGGCCAGAGCAGGGAAAGGGACTATAGGGAGATTAGATAACAGGATAGCAAGAAAGAAATGTAAGCAACTTATCAACTCTGGATCTCTAGGACACAGGTAGGGGTTGGAAAGACAAGAAACATAGCGGGTGGAGAAGGCTGGAATCCTACTTATGTAGGAATTATCATAACTATGTTTTTATTTTAGAGAAGTAACTCTTCCACCTATATAGAGAATGGATTTAAACAGATAAAACTGAAGGCATAAAGGTCAGATATCTAGACTTGCATAAGAGCAGTGACAAAGAGTAATATTTTCTATAGAATTAAACCACCCCTTGAACTCAATTGGTTGACTCCTTTGTCCATAGATCTACTTTCAACCTCTTTTTTAAATTTCCCCCTTCTACTCCGTCTCCCCACGATATTCTTATTAATCTTATGAAGTATGTTAATTGGAGGTTTACTCACAAAGTTGATATTTTGCTGATGCACGACTCAGTTTTAAATCCCATCATCTAGCTTGTCTTCCATTTGGAACTTGGTAAATTGCCATGCATCTTTGGACCTTTCCATAAAAAATAATTTATGAACTTGCAAGAGAAGTTGGTGTTCCCAGAGCTAAATCCAGACCCTGGAGACAGACTGAGCTAGGCTCTGTTTTAAAAGTTTTAAGGAAAATAACTGTCATTCCAAATTGGAATGAAAATATTGCAGTTACATTTACTATGGATTTTCATATTTAAATGCAGATTTACATACCTTATAGATATGTCCATTTGTATCCTTTAATAGAGCTCCATGGTGTCTGGATTTAACTTAGTCACTTTCTCAGGTCTTAAGCAACTATTTACTGTGCCTATCTCACTCTTCTCCTCCTCTAAGATCTCAAGTGAAAATGTGTACCATAAAGATCTAACATCTTGCCTCCAAAATTTAATACTGATAATACCAAAAGGTCATCTTGGGTTCCTGGCCTCCTGTGTTAAGCAGGCACACTTGAGATTTATTTATTTGTTACAACAAAAGTTCTATAGGTCAGAGGCGCCTTGAGTCAGAGCATATAAAATAAAGTATTTTTAGATATCACTCTTAGAAAGGGTAGCAGGGCTATGTAGAAGAACCAGAATTATCCTTCCTTTTATGGTTCAGTTTATAATGGGAAGAATTATTTTAATAATCTGGAATTTGCCTTTGAATTTTCCATTTTTGAACAAAACTATAAAACCAAAAGTGTACAAATATGGATGTTTTATTCTCCTCCCATTGGTTTCTGCTGGACCAGCATGTCCACAGGCAGAGCTGTGAAAGGGCAAAGATACTCTTGCTCTCTCTCACTTGTTCCTACACTTTCCCTCTCTCTCTCTTTCTCACTCTGTGTTTCACTGTCTCTCTATCCTATCTCTGTCTCTGTTTCTATATTTTTCTCTGTCTCTGACTCTGTCTCTCACCCTCCCTCCTCTCTCTCTCTTTCACTTCCCTCCTCTTGCAGCATTCAGTCCAGCCATGTTTAGCTTAGACACTTTCTCAGTTTGGGGCTCAGCTGTGCCCAGAGATGCAGTGCTGTTCAAGCCCAGCAAAACTGGGGTCACTAAGGCCACATTCAACTTTCAGAGCAGAGGGGAGACTTTCAGGCTACACCTGGTGGTACTTGGGATACTATACAGTGCTGGGGATCCAACTCATCTGTCTTCCCCATCTTCAAACATCTGAGATATGTTTGGCAGGGAGCTTCCCTTTTTTCCATGAGTAACCACCTCAAATTAAAAAGGAAGTTCCTTAAATACATACAATCAAAGACTGCACAAGCCCCACGCATAGTGCGTATGGGAAAAGCTTTAAATCTACTTAAAAGGCTTCTTGCCAGCATCTCTAACAGCCACTGCCCTTGTAACCACCAAATCTATGGCCATTATAGAGCCTGAGTGTCTGACGTTCTTTCCCAAACTCTGACTCAAATATAAGAAGGGGTCATGAGAGTGACATTGCTGATAAGTTTTTAGAGTTTGGTGTCTATTCTGATACTGACAGAAGCCACCAGAATATCCAACAGCAAGGGAAAGAAGTGCTCTGAAACAATGGGAATAACTACAACTGTGTTTCATTCATACTGAAGAACAATTAACAACAGCTGGGAAATTAAACAGAGTCAACATAGGTTAAAATGGAAACAAATTTTAAGGCACTGTACCCCATGCCAGAATCAGCTGCTCTTTCAAGTTTTGAGTGTTTGGTGAAGAAACCCATGATTTGAAGAAGACATAAGAAGCTTGGGATGGGATGAGAGCCCAGCCAGGCGAGGTCATCTCAAAGACAGTCTGATTATCTGTGGGAATGCTATCTCCTAGCTAAAAGCCTGCAGTCAGATTAATGCCAGCGTTTGAAAGTCTACTTGGGCCTGCTGGTAGCCAGTCATGGAAGGAATGTGTTTTCTCTTTATCATGGCAGAAATGTTCATCACATATGGTCTGAGTTTCCCAGTTTCAGTGCTCCTGGAAGTTACACAGTCTATGCTCTCTGATTGGGCTCCCCAGCCTGGGGATGATGAAAAAGCTCCAGGCTGTCGCCATGGCCAGTTGCCTGCACTGGTCAATGGGTAGACCAGTTCCTTCAGTCTTTATTACCACTGATAACAGTGGTAAATCTTGCCTTGTTGTACAGAAAGGAAGTTTGACCAGTTCCATCACTTTATCTCCCAGGAATGCAGTTTGAATTGTGTCTCCTCCTTGACAGTTTGGACTTCAGTAAATTACCAGGGTCTTGACCCAAGAGATGGAGAAGTCCTCAGCGATTGTTCAGTCTCCTATCTAAAGATGTGTTTACATTTCTTGAGCTCTGGCTGACTGATTCATTCTCCTAGTGTTGCAAGAACTTCCCTGATGTGTTAGAATTTATATATTTCATTTCTGAGAGTGTGGTTCCTTCCCAGCCATGAGCAGAGTGAACCTCATTGCAACATAATTCTGCCAGGCTGTGTTTGTCCAGAGGACAGCCATGCGATATGGTGCTGCAGCGAGCTCGAGAGGTACTCTGAAGTGGAAGGAAGAACACAAGATGACAGCTCAGAAGTTCTGGGAAGGTCTGATATTGTACTATTTCATAAGTATAGTCTTGAACCACAAAATCACTGTCTCAGAGCCTCAGTTTCCCTACTTGTTTTAACTAAGGAAGGTTGTAAATGTGCACAGAAGTCACTTTCTGCATTTCCAGCAAAACAAAAGATGACAGCTAAGGAACAATAGAATAAGTGAAAAAGAAGTAAGTAGATGTCTTGGGTCAGTAAGATGAAGGTTGGGTCAGAGCAATGCTACAAGGGGTGGGGCGCTTGCCTTGCATGAAGCTGACTTGAGTTTGATTCCTGGCATCTCATATGATCCCCCAAGGCTGCCAGGCATAATCCCTAAGTGTACAGCCAGAAGTCAGCCTTTGAGCACTGCTGGATGCGACCCGAAAAACAAAAAGGCAAAGTCTATATGACTATTGATTCTTAAAAGTGTTAATGAAAACTTGGGAGTAGTAAGAACTTTTTCTGGATACTGGTTCCATGCAAAAGACTAATATCCTTGTCAATAGAGACATGTGTTCCTCAAATAAACATTCATCTATAAACATTAAATTTACATTTTGGGGGTAAAAAGAAAGAAAAACAAAATAAATCCTGCCCTTTAACAGCAAGGAATTTTCAGTTAGGCAATCTTGAGCTAAAATCCTTACTGAGAATCTCATTAGCTGTTTAGCTAGGTAGGTTTAAATTTATCTTGCAGGGGATGGTAAGATAGCACAAGGGGAAACTTGGAGTTTGCCTTGCACATGACCAACCCTGATTTGATCCCTGGTAGCAAATATGGTCCCTGAAACACTGCCAAGAGTGAACTCTAAGCACAGAGTCAGGAGAAAGCCCTGACCACCACAGGGTATGGCTCTACAAACAAAACAAAACAAAGCCGCCTTGCTGGTTCCACCAGCAAAAAAGCAACGGTAACACAAGCGTGGAAGAGAGTTGTCCAGTGTCCACACCAGTGTCATGTGGGGACTGCTTGATGCCTGCGTCAGGGAGTAACCATGATTTCTGTCAGTCACTTCCCACCAGCCTCACTGTAGTGTTTCCTGTTTGCTTTGGTTTCTACCTTATGAGGGAAACGCAGTGTCTCTGATCTCTCTATCTGGAAGGTTGCAGAAACATTTTTCTACTTCAATGAGGTGTGATCATGCAAAATTTATACTCAACAGCATCAGCAGATTCTTTCCCATCAATATTTCCTTTTTAATTTCAGCCTTATCAGACCTTAAGTTATACAAAGAATTACTTTTGTTCTTTCAAAAAGCAACCAGAGCAAGAAAAGTAAAAATTTTCATATAACGTCTTAACACTATAATTAATGTGGTCTATAAATTGTACTTGTACAGGTTATTTGGTACATAAATATGAATGTCATGGGTGGGTGCATGTAAGTTTATAATCTTATACCTACGAACCAGGCTTATATGTATATATTTATAAAAATTCATGAGACTTTGATCCAACAGCCTTGATCCTTTTGTCTCTGATTTCTACAATAGCTAACACTGAATCTGGAACTGAGCTACATGTGAGTCTTAATGAAACCAGACCTTTGACACAAAAGGCAGAAAAGCAGGTATTGTACCATCTCTGAATGAACCTGAGATTGGGAATTTCAGGAACATTTGGGTTCTTGTCTCAGCTTGCTGTGTGACTCTACGTGAGATCCTTCGCCTCTCTGGGCCTCAGTTGCCTCATCAATAAAATAAGACAAGTAGGCTATAAAATCACAGCGGTTCCTTAACTCATAGACTTGGAATGTCTTAACCCAACTTGGACTGTTTTGTCTGGCTCTTCGTGTGCATGAATAAGCTGCAAAGTCAGAAGGGGAACAAGGAGGCACAGAAAGGTATTATTTATTAAGGCAGTGAGGGCTTGGACGGGGTGTCAGAGGACCCACTTCATCCACTCCAATTCTCATTCCTAATGGGGGGAGGGGGGATATAGCAACGAAGAATAAATTGCAGGTCTAGGATTTTTTTTTTTTTTTTGCTTTTTGGGTCACACCCGGCGATGCACAGGGGTTACTCCTGGCTCTGCACTCAGGAGTTACTCCTGGCGGTGCTCAGAGGACCATATGGGATGCTGGGAATCGAATCTGGGTCGGCCGCGTGCAAGGCAGACACCCTACCCGCTGTGCTATTTCTCCAGTCCCGGATTTTTTTTTTTTTAAGTAAGGAAAACGCTCCCATTTGATGGGTTAGGAATATCTGTTACTGGTTCAGGGATGCATGTCAACAAACAAAATCTGTCCATTCGTCCGTTTGAGACTGTCTTCAAATTTACCTCAGAAGGTAAATTGGGTGAATCCAGCCAGCTGCATAGGAGTCTCAGAATAGCTGAGGTAAAGCAGTGAGGCTTCAGGCCCTCTCCCTCTGTCCCCAGCCTCAGAAGGAGCGGGAGGTGGACCTTTCTGTTCTCTACATCTCCAGCCTCCTGCCATAGCCGGGTTTTCCCCTCTTCTCACTAACTCATTAAAAAACAGTAATAATAAAAGTCGTTTTGTTTTCATCTGTGGAAAGAGCTGGGTTCCAAGAAAGGACCTGAACTCTCACTGCTAGAATCCCAGGTCCAGGGCAGCCTCTGCTGAGGAAAAATAGCAGAGCTGACCTTCCAGCTACTGAAGAAACAATGTTTGCTTTTTTTCCCCCCCCAAACATGCTCACTTTGAAGGCATCCTTTCTAAGGCAGTCTAAAAGCTCTTTTTCCTCTTGAGAATACAATATGCTATATAATATCATGATTTCACAGCTCTTTTCTTTTTTTTTTTTTTTGCTTTTTGGGTCACACCTGGCAATGCACAGGGGTTACTCCTGGCTATGCACTAAGAAATTACTCCCGGTGGTGCTGGGGTGCTGGGAATCAAACCCGGTTCAGCCGCGTGCAAGGCAACCACCCTCCCCACTGTGCTATCGCTCCAGCCTCCCAATTCCACAGCTCTGACCACTGCACTATCCTATAACTCACCAGCTTCACATGGCCCTGTGAGTCTGTGAGACCCAGTGTGGCTTCATCTGTAAAAGCCCACCCTAGACTAGCTATGAGCTTTGTTTGTAGTCAGGAAGAGGAACCCCCAGACCAGGGGCCTCTAATGCTAATCCCAGATTCCTCTCAGAGATGGTGGCACACCAAACCTGCTAACTCCAGGGGTATTGTGCCTTCCAGAACCTGTTGCTTTGTTCAGTAACCCTCATCTTACAGTCTTTACAAGTAACCCCAAAAGTAAAGTCACTTGAGGAAAAATCCAGGGATCCCCAACCAATCCCCACGTACAAAGAAAATGGGGGAGGGGTCATGAGGAAGAGGGGGAGGACTCTCCCTTCCCTCCCCTAGCCCTGACTTTTCCAGGCTAATGGCCCTTTATTAGATTAATCACTGACTTGGATTTTAACTACTTCCTTAACCTACTGCACATAAATGACTAATTTCATGTTTACTATAAAGCATCTGGAAAGGATTTAGAAACAAATTTCTGCCCCACAAATTTCAGTTACCTACGTGGCAGGACCCTGGCAAATTCCGTGGATTCCTTCCACGGTGGACTCCCCACTCTGAGCTGGCAAGGGCCCCTACCACGCGGGCTTTTATGCTTCTGGGTCCCGCTTGCTTCTCGGTTGTCTTCTTCCCCCTCCGTGACTTCCCCCCCACACCGCGCCTGCCTTTCCTTGGGGTCCGACTCTATTCATTCAGTCACATAAAATATTTTTTCCTTTCTTTTTAAATCACTGCACTAGCTGAGGGAGAGGGAAACCCCCAGGGAGCACTCTTGGCCCTTGATAACCTTTAATGAGACGCAGGCCTGGCTCTAGAAATCCACTTCTGCAGGGTAGGTAGGAGTGGGGTACTGTGGCCTGACTGCGTGCCCGGATACCCCCTTTTCCTGGGCTGCCTCCGGACGCCCCCTACCGGCGGTATCTTAAACCCTCTGATGCTGACCTAAGGGGCTGCCCGAGAGGTGTCCGGTGCAGCAAGGATTGGAAGTCCTGTCCCCAGGACACAGGATGTCATTCTCCACCCAGTAGGACGAACTCCTCCTCAAGGCGCCCCTTTTACACCTGGCCCGAGTGGCAAATCCCTACATAGAAATAAGTGTCACCCCGAAATATTCATTTCCCTGGAGCCGGAGGAGGGGCTAAACCAGGGACAGAGTAGGGGATGGAAAGTACAGAGGGAGATAAGGGGATGAAAAGCATGATGAAGAAAGAAAAGGGAGCCGAGCAGACGTGCTTCAACTCCAAGTTCCCGTTTCCCGCTTTCAAATGAACTGCCTCCCACTGTGAGCTGAATCAAGTATTTATGAAGGCATTTTTTGCATATTAATAACTGCACATGGAGCCTTGCCAGCCCAGCAGTCCTAAAAAGTATGATGCCCTTCTTTAAATGCAGGTCCCTCAAGCTCCTCGTGGAATTTGGTCTTTTCCTGGCGCGTTCCTATTCCTTTCTGTCTGTGGCTCCTCGGAAGGCTTCCATTTGATTCAGGAAAATTTGTTCCTGGGGTGCTAACCGACTAAGTACTGCTCTTAGCTCGAGGCTGACATCAGTCGCTAAAGAAGCTTTTCCTCTTCCTGGGCCACTCTGTAGGGACTACAAGTTGGGTGAGGTGACCAGCGCCTCAGAAAGGCATTAAAATTGTCAATTCAAATCTCAGAAAGAAATGGTAACATACTGGGTCCAAGAGATAGTACGGTAGGGGGTAGGGTGCTGGTCTTGCAAGCAGATCCAAGCATCCCATATGTTTCACAGGGCACCACCAGGAGTGATTCCTGAATGGAGAGTAACCCCTAAGCATTGCCAGGTGTGACCCCAAAAAATTAAAAAATAAAAAATGGTAACATACCTATCCCGGTGAGGGAGGTGGGGTAAGATTAAAAAGAGAAGAAAGTGGATAGAGCAGTAGTGTGGCTGGTAGGGCCCTTGCCTTGCACATGGCCAACCCGTGTTCCATCCCCCACCATATTCCATTGGTTCCTTCCCCCACACACACGCATACACAGCACTACCAGGAGTAAGTGCAGAGCCAGGAATAACCCCTGAGCATTGCTGGGTGTGGCCCTCAAACAAAACAAAACAAAAATGGGACTAGAGAGATAGTACAGCGGATATGGCACTTGGCCTTACACATGGCTGACCAGGGTTCAATCCCCAGCATCCCACATGGTCCCCCAAGCACTTCCAGGAGTGACTCCTGAGTACAGAGCCAGGAATGGCCCCTGAGCACTGCCGGGTATGACCCTAAAACTAAAAAAAAAAAAAAAAATTAAAAAAATCTTGCTTTAATTACAACAGAATTGTCTATACTTGGTAAAGATCATGTGCGATTTAGGGAGGCACACCCAGCAGTGCTGGGGCTCCTCCCTCTCAGCTAGGAATTGGAGGTACCATGCTATTCCAGGGACAAAACCTGGGGCTCCCATTTGCAAAGTTTCAAGCTATCTCTTTGGTGCCCCACTTTCTATTTTAAAAGGAAAACATTTAAAAACCTAGAAAAATAAGCAAAAGAAATAATTTATATTCAAGGTAATTGTCATTGAAAACAAATATAGGAGCATATTCACCCTCAGTAGCAATTTTAAAGTAAACTGAGGCCAGCTAGAGATACCTTTTTATATTTGAGATCTATATTGCCCCTTCTCTCATTTTTTAAAAATTGGACCTTGCAATTCTGCAAGATTATGGTGGAAACTAGAACAATATGCTTCTTCTGGAAGATTATAATTTGTAAAATTATGCACAATCCATTTGTAAAGTCAAACAGCAATGTGGCCTATGAAACTTGGAAAAATATTCATATTCATTGATTCAATATTTCTAATTTCTGGGACTTTATCCTATTCAGTAGAAAAATCAGTGAATGAAAGTGTCTTTTGCAGCATTATTCATAATAGAGAAAAATTGGAAGAAACCTAATAGTCCAACATCAGATAATCATTGATTGAGTTAATGATAACATATCCCTCTCAGAGAGGGGTTTAATTCAAGCATTTTAAAAATGCTGATTGCTCAGACTACAGTCTCATATGAATGGTTTAATGTGGGGTTTCTGCCCTCACCACCACTGACATTCGGAACCAGACATTCTTTCCATGAATTGTAGGGCATGAAGTATCATCCCTCATCTCTACAGTAAATATAATTCCCCCAGCCCCAGCTGTAATAAGTGAAAGTATCCCTAGACCTTGTCAAATGTCCTTTTTTTTGTTTGTTCTTGGATCATACCTGGTATTGATCAGAAATTATTACTGGCAGTACTCAGGGAATCATATGGGATGCCAGGATTGAACCAGGGTCAGCATCATGCAAGGCAAACACCTCACCTGTTGTACTATCTCTCTCTTAAGGAAAAAAACACCCCTCAGTTGGGAGCCATCAATTTAATTTTTAAAGTGGAAAACACAGTAATGTCTACTATGATAGCAACCATATAAATACATCAAAGTTTCCCCAAGGAAAAGTCTCAATTCTTTAGAAATTTCCTGTTAAAGATCTTAACCCTTTTACAGCATCTTATCCCTCTGACCTTAGACTGTGGGGGACAGTGAACTTACCTCTTTTTCCAAAAAGTTGGGCTCCAAAAGG